GGTGGTGGTGGTGGTGTGGTGGCGGCTAGTCGCCTTTCGACTAGCCACTTCTGTTGTCACGACCACACCACCACCTTCATCATCATGGAAAATTTCTATGTTCATTTCTCTTTTCAGTCGAATGAATACTGCACCCGACCTTGTATTAATGGTTTTTATATAATTACACTTCATATGCCTCGGCTGCACTTGTGCTGAAGGTTTTATCAGTGACCACTGATAATGGCCATGGCAATCCCAGCTTGTAAAACTAACCAAATGTTCGATATATTGACCGTTGCATACTAACCGTTTTCCTAATACTTCTTAACCTTACAGAAAAGTCAGCAACGTGAAGGAAAGAGCTGTTGGGTAAACTGCTGTTAGCTCTGATATCTTTACTCGTCGCAGCTTGTAGCGGAGCTGCTCCGGCACCACCAGCCGCTCCGATAACAGATGCAACCCTCACTCAACTTGCTGGTTCTCTGCAAATGTTTGTCGACGAACTCCCGGAGATGCCCACCGTCTTCGGCTATACAGGTTCACCCAACTCCGCCTCCGCCGCTAAGCCCCGCAGCCTCACCATTGGCATGTATCAGACGAAATGGGTATACTATATTAACGAATAATGACGAGAGTTCCATCATACTTACGCTTTTCGGTCCAACCGAGATGTTGACCGGCCGGACCATCCAGCAACAGTCCATCATTTGGACTTAATTTTTTTTCCACGTGCAGATATTCCATCGTGATTTACCTCCCACAACGGTGTTCGCATATGGCTTGTCAGCACTCAGCAGGTGAAGCAACCGTACCCAGTCCCACAATTGAGGCCATCAAAGGAGTGGCAACATCCGTGACGTGGCAAAATCACCTCCCTCAAAACCACATACTCCCCTGGGATCCGACCGTCCCCACCGCCATCCCTAAGAACGGTGGGGTCCCCCGACGGTTGTTCATCTCCACGGTGGGGTCCACGATCCAACCAATGACGGAAGCGCCCATGCCTGGTTCACCTCCAATTTCGCAGAGACGGGGCCAAGCTGGTCCAAAGCTACATACACCTACCCCAACGTCCAACACTCTGGGACCATGTGGTATCACGATCATGCACTAGGGTTGACACGTGTCAATCTTATAGCAGGTCTGATTGATCCATACATCATCCGTGACCCGGTCTTAGATGCTTCCCTGAACCTCCCATCGACCGGAGCTTCAATACGGATGGTTCTCTTTACATGAACTCCACCGGCATCGTCCCGTCCATTCACCCTCAGTGGCAACCGGAATATTTCGGTCACGCCATCATTGTCAACGGTAAAGCCTGGCCCGTTTTGAACGTACAGAAACGGAAGTACCGGTTCAGGATCACCAACGCCGCGAACGCGCGTTACTTCCAGCTCTCATTAAGCAACAGTCTTCCATTTACCCAAATAGAATCCGACGTATCCTACCTACCCGCACCCGTTCAGACACAAAGTATACTGTTGGCACCCTCCGAGAGTGCTGACGTTGTCATTGACTTCTCAGCCTCTACCAGCACCGAGATTGTATTGAACAATAACGCACCCTACCCGTACCCGTCGGGTGCTCCGGTGGATAACCTGAACTCAAGGTAATGAAGTTTGTTATTGCACGTGGGAACCCGAACATACCCGATAAGTCTACCATCCCGACGGGTCTAGTGAATTATAAGGCATCAACAACTGATGCTGCAGTGACGACCAGGTCCGTTGTGTTGTACGAGTACACGGATCCATCCGGGTCATCACATCCACACACCTTTATATAAAAAACGGTAAAAGATTTGAGGACACAGTAACGGAAACGCCTAAATCGGGTAGTACCGAGATATGGGAGGTGATTAACTTAACGGACGATAATCACCCGTTGCATATACACTTGGCAACGTTTCAAGCAATCAAGGTGCAGAACGTTGTGAACTTGGCCCAATTCACCAGTTGCATGGCAACACAAAACGATGCCGTTGCCTGCAACGTAACGTCCTACGTGACGGGGACATTGTTCGACATTCCGGCCACCGAGAAAACATGGAAGAACACGGTGAAGATAGATAGCTCGGGGACCCAAACCACCGACGTCGTCAAGTTTACTTTGGGGACCCAACGTAACGTCCTATGTGTATGTATATCTATGTATGTATGTATATAACCCTAAAATTGACTTTGGGGCAACTACCCTAACCAGCTAAAGAAACCTAAGAAGAGGGGAGGACATAGAAACCTTACCCCTCTAAGAATAATTATACAATGTTATCTCTAGCTCAATAAAAAGAGAAGAGTCTAGAGATGTGTTAACCCAAAGACACTCAACGCCATCTAAGAAAAGGAATACCAGACCAATCTAACCAGATAGCATGATTGACTATGTAGGGAGACCCAATTGATAAGTAAACGATTCCATTTTATTCTCTAAATATCTATATCTATACTACTTTAAAAAATACAAATAGCCTTAATAATATTTCTGGAATTTTTTTAGGATAACATTTACCCCTCATACTTAAATTTATTGATAAAAAGCAGGGCAAATAGGATAATTGGTTATTGATATTAAATGACTTGAAAAGAGGTAATTTTAAGATATTCAATGCATTTAATTCCCTCTCACTAAATCCAACATTTAAGGTATTAAATTGCATTCACCTTCATTGAGTCATATATTTAGGGCATTTTTGTTTCTTATCATCATTAAATTCTATTAATTAAATCTATATATAATAAATTAGTAATTTCAATCAGACAAAAACTTATACTTTTAAAATATACCTTGAAAAAAGTGTTTTCATGTAGGCGGTGGTAAAAAATTAAATCATTTTGGGTCAAATGGGACAATCCATGTTGTCACAATTGAATAATAAAATTCAAAAATAGATAAATTGCAAAAAATATATAGAAGTTAAAAAAATGGGAACATAAAACAAGAATAAGTATGATAAATAAGAAATAATTTTATTAATGATGGAAATGAAATGTAAAATTTAAAACTATTTTCCTTTTTCACTCATTAAATCTCATATCTGAAGTATAATCTCTCATTAAATCCTATATTTAAGATATATTTTTCTCATCATTAAATTCTACTAATTTAATCCATAACATTAATTTTAATAGATAAAAATAAATATTTTAAAAAAGGAATTCAAAAACAAAATCATTTTCTTCCCTCCTAGTGGAGGGTTAGTAATTCTACCATATGGGGTCAAATGGGTTGATAAATAATCTCATAAATAAATTAAATATATAATACAAATAAAAATAAAAAAAATTGGGCATATCTCTAATATTGTATATTCATTATACTAAACAAAAATAAGTATGAAATGTAAGAAGTATTCTTATTAAATTTGAAAATAGAATGCCAAATTTAAAATCAACCTAGAAATGAAATGATGTCATAGTCAAATAATAAAATTTTTAAAAATAAAAAATGCAAAGAATCACAAAAAAAATAAAGAAACATTTGGGCCATATCTAATATTATATATTTATGAAAAATAAAATATTGGGTACATATCTAATATTATACATTCATTACATTGAATAAAAATAAGTATTATATATAAGAAATAATTTTATCAATGATGGAAATGTAATACAAAATTTAATGTCAACATAGAAGTCAAACTATTTTTCTTTTTGGGTGGTAGGTTAGTGGTTTGGGTCAAATGGATTAATCGATGATATGATAGCTAAATAGTAAATCTTTAAAAAAATAAAAAAGTACAACTAATCAAAAGAATATATAAAAAAGTATGATAAGTATAAATTATTTATATAATGTAGATGAATATATAACTTAAAACTAATCTGAAAGCAAAGATATTTTTTATTTAGATGGTGGGTCAATGGTCCAATTTTTCAAAGAAACTCATGATGTCATAATTGAATAATAAATATATAGAAAAAGATAAAACACAAAAAATGAAAAAGGTGTAGAATTTTGTTGAAAACATTTCTAATATTCTATATTCATCATATTAAATAAAAATAATTGTTAAAAATTTATGATAGAAATGGAATACAAATTATTTTTATTTATTCTATATTCATCATATTAAATAAAAATAAAAATTATTTTTATTTATGATAGAAATGGAATACAAAAAGTTAATAATAATAATAATTAATAATAATATTATTATTATTAGTGTAGAAAAACAATTTTTGAAATATGTGAGATTTTCTGCTTTGGAGGGGCTACAAGTTGGTTGAAGGTAAAGTTATTGATTGTTAGACCATCATGAAGACGCCCAAACCCCACCCCCGTATAGGAATGGCAACGGGGCAGGTTTGGGGCGGGGCACCCCCTCCCCGTCCATGCCCTATAGTCAAGATACTTTGCCTTGTCCCCGCCCCATCCCCGGTGGCGGGGCGAGTTCAGGGCGTGCGGGGCATCCACTCCCCGTCAAGGATGGGTAATCTCCAAATTTTCCATGCTCTAAGGCAACTTCTTAAAAATTAATTATTTTGTAGAATATTTACACATATAATATAGGAATTTGGGAATATTTTCGGAATTGAACTATAATACTTTGGGGGTACTTCAAAAATGGAATTATGGGATTCTAGGATTTTAAGAATTTAGGGAAAACTTAGAAATATTTTAAATATCAATATTAAACATAGAAATATTTAACTAATTTTATTTTTGGGTTCGGAATGGGTTCAAGGAATTATATACAAAACCCGTCCTCGATTCGGAGAAAAAATATTTTCCCCGTCCCTGCCCCGTCCTCATTTAGGGTCGGGGAAAACCTGGCCCATTCAAGGTGGGGCAGGGCGGGGCTCCGGATTTACGGGGGAAATTGTCGTCCCTACCCCCGTAGTTTACCATGACAATGGTAAGGAGTGTCTTAACAATCTGTAAAGAACACAATGGGTGTTTTGACAAAAGAGTGTGTCACAAAAATAGTGAGCAATTAATTAAGGGTTGCAAGAATACGTTTTTGAAAGAAATTAATTAAATATTTGGAAATGGTGTAATAGGCAATGCCCATATGAATTTAAAGAGAAACATTAAGTTGTAAAGTTTCGACCCATATGTTTCTTACAAAATAAGAAAAAAATAAAACTCATTCTTTAAGGAAACAAGTTAATATCTTCCACTTGAGGTGAGCTATTTGAATCGCCTTGTATAGCAGACATTGTTCTTCAATGGACAATTTCGTCTTTCAACACTATGACTAATGATTTATGATTAAACGCCAGGATAGAGAATCAAATTTGCGGTTGTCCCATCTTCCATCATCTTCCATCTTCAATAAAAACCAAACCTGCTCAATCAAAATGGAAAATAAATTATTAAAGAGCTAATAAGGGAAAAGATTGGCAGCCTAGTCTAAACCTACAACAATAGAAAAATAAAGGAAATTTAGTGTAGTTCTTGCTTTTTGTTAAAGGAAAGAGATAACCAAACAAATAAATAAAAAGAGAAGGAAGAAATGAAATTTGATCAAGAAACTATAGATTCTCACAACTAAGAACCAACTTTCCCAATTCCTATTTCTTTGAAAAATCTATAGGGAATTTTGTTTCATTTGGGAGGAAGAAGACTCAAAAGGTCTATACACCCATATGCTCCACTGGAAACTTTAAGAAAATTACCATACCATGTGGTAATTAGTCAAAATATCAGTCCCAACACTTGGATTATAGAGATTACATACAAGGTGCGCTGAATTATCATTATCTGGGAAATTTCCCTGCTTGATAAATAGACAATCATAATCAATCACATATATCATCTTATATGAAATAGGGTATATCAATTTTTGAAACTTCATTGATGGGGCAAAAACTCAATGATCCCTACTGATCTCTCTAAAATGTAAGATCTTACTATGCACTTCCTACCAAAAATATAAAAATAACAAAGAACAAAGCAGAAAAATCAGAAATTTCTTTTCTTGAGATGTAATATCCTATTCCTGACGAGGAGGATCATCTGTTAAGTTACTTGAATGTCATCATTGAAGACAAGATGGGATGCTCTGTATTTTGCAAGCAGCTCAAATGCAATATGGTTTGCAAAATCTTCAAACTGTGATTAAGAAATTCAGTCATTAAGAAACTTCTAGCCAAGCCTTGAAAGATGAAAATTATTTGATTTGTCAATCCACTGAGAATGTGTAATGGTGGTACCTGTATGAGGACTTTTTCTCCACAATTTTACTTAACAACACATGAATTCATGTAGAAGTTCAAAATATTCCTACAATCAAAAAACATGAAACCATCTTTGTTAAAATGCTGCTTATTGTTGGCATGAATTTAGAATATAGCAAGTTTTTAAATAGTGGAACCTAGCCAATTGCCCTCTTTTGTCTGATCCCAATATAGAATTCATCATTTAATAACTCCTCATTGTCTTTCCTAACATCAATAGTTACAGGCAAGCACTGCAAATGACAATGGAAATCATCAAATTTCTAAAATTTAAAGAAAGAAAGAATACCATCATGATCAGTATCCAAAATTCCAATTGATCTTGTTACAGTCAGTCATATCATCTTATTTAGTCGGCAGCATATGTAAGTGACTTGGCAAAGTGATTGCCAACTTCATTAAAATGTGACATCAATTCAATCAAATCAGGACTAGTCATGGAACATGCAACCAAATCAAGGTATGTGGTCTCATTTTTTTTTATGAATAAGTTTGAGGTCTCATTCACTAATAAAGGCTCTTGTTTTTGAGAGGCCAACCAATTTCTTTCCTTTGTAGTACTCTACCCTTGAGAAGTCAATCAATTGAAAAGAACAAAAAGCATTAATGATGAGCATGCTTACTAAAGAAGGACGAACACCCCCAAGCGCTGCATATAAAGCACCTTTTCCTACAGGAATTCCCATTCCCTAAGAACATTCAACATATTTATCATCAATTAAGTAAACAATAATTACCATTCAAGATGCAAAGACTAAGATACTAACAAAAGCATATAAATAAATGTTGAAGTTGAGTTATGCATAGCCATGAATTAGAAGAGAACCACTCCAGATATATACCTGACAGCCAAGGTCCCCAAGCCCCAAAATCTGCTCACCATCAGTGACAACAATAACTTGGATGTTCTTCTCAGGGAAGTTCTTTAATACCTCAATAGTCTTTCCCCTGTTAACCCAAATACTTATCAGTTCTACTTGAATAACATTGTGAAAGACATTAAATATCCAAGCAAGCACTATGGAATAAAACTGAAAACAAAATACGATAAAACATACTTCTCGTATAGACTAATATAAAGACCCTGAGGATGCCTAAATATGGTATCAGATTTTTGGCTAGCTTCACCAACAATTGAAGTGTATACAACTGGGAGCAATTCCTCAACATTATCAATGAGGAGCTTATAAAACAGCCTTTCATTCCTCTCAGGTAAATGAAGACAAAATAACCAAAAACAACTAAATTCAGTCATCATTCCACAAATAAAACACCATGGAAAACCACAAATGGAATTGGCTTAATCCAATCACTTGCAGATCCATCATGGCCATATATCTTTGCAGTGGATCCTGAGCTTGTGTATCAATTTCTTCTCCTAATATGCAGAATTGTGGAAAGCGAAGGTCAGCAAGCATGGCTTGGTTCTGATAAAACATCAAGAAAAGGGGTCTAAACTATCAAGAAGGGTCATTATATGTCACTTGGAGCTCTTGAGTAACTACTGTTAAGGGTAGAAGACCTTACAAGTAGTGAGCATCTCTCTCCTTGTCAGTGAAGGCAAGTCCCTTGTTATGGTACGGGTCCCCCAACAAAGAATACCCACTGCACCAGAAATAAAATATTTAGTGTATAATAGGTAAAAAGAACAGAATAATGAGGATAGTTAAACCACTGAATATGGAATATATATAGCTACACAAATAGAATAATGAAAATAGAAGCCGAAGACTGAAAACAAAAAAGAATAAACAAATAATTATAATAGACAAAGATAAAATAGGTGTAACATTGGAATATTGCTAAAATATAAGAAAAAAAGGGGTGAAAACATGAAAATAGCCCCAAAACAGAAAAATACATTAAAAAGAAAGAAAGTTAAAACACTGAATATTTAAGACACAGAATACATAATTAAGGACAAACCATCTTTTTTTTTTTTCTGCAACGTTACCTTATGACATCTTTACAAAGTTTTTTTTTTTTTTTTTTTTTGTTGCCTTTCAAGCCTTCTTGACTCTTTTCTCTTGTTCCCTCCCTTCATTACATGTGAGCAGATAAAAATTAAAAAAAAATAAGAAAAAATATAACAAAAAAAGCATGAGATGGTAAAATACAAAATCTAGCCAATAATAGTCAATTATGAATAAGGTTTGTACAAAGGTCCAAAAAAACATCTTGGGAGGGTATTGGTTTATTAGGACTTACTTTCCAATTCATGAAATAAGACCATTTGATAACAGTAGTGTATCAAGATGATCTAGGTTTGTGTAACCAGTTACTAGCCCATCACTCAACCCAAAAGCCTACAAATAAGGTAAAATAGTAGCTGACATTTTAAACATAAGGTAATAAATATCAAGATGATATAGGTTTGAGTTTAACCATTTGACATTTCTTTTTGATAAGTAAAATAGTAGCTGACATTTTAAACACAAGGTAATAAATAATTACTGAAATAATATAATAATTATAAATGGACCTAAGTGTGAGTTCATTTTAAATGGACCAGGTCCAATCCAATTTAATGAATATTTTGGACCATTTTAGATCGGACTAATTTGATGTCTGGACTGTTTACTTTGTTTAAATTCGTTTTGATTTGACTGGTTTCAACCTAAACCTGGTCTATTGACACCTATAGTCTTATCTTATATCAATGGATCAGATATTGGCTTAATCCAATCCAATCCAATATAAATTTATTACAGATGGACCAAATCCAATCCAATCTAATAAATATTTTGAACAGAATTGGTCCAATCCAATGTCTTATTGGTCTGTCCAATCCATCCAAATTAATTTTACACTGGACTGGGTCCAATCCAAAACTGGTCCATTAACACCCTTAAATATCGGGCCCCAAACAACCCAACTAGCTAGCAGCATGCTCTCCTCAATATCAGCTCAATTAGATTGAAAATACATAAGCCTTTAAGACTCATGCCACAGATTCATTAACAGCTTATGTGGCATCTTGGCAAAGAAACCTCAATATGGTTAATATGAGGTGGAAGTGGGCTATCTTAGATTAGAAACCAAACTGAATGACCAATTTGTAACAGGTGCCCTTGCTTTACATTGAGTGCTTCCTAATCCTTGTCCTGTGGCGATGTGTAGTGCTATAATTGGGTCGGATTCAAATCCGATCCAGCCATATCCGAATATAAACCGACCATTAAAAACTGAAATCCAAATCTGATCAGATATAGGTAGAACCGTAGAAGTGCAATTCGATCGGGTTGGCTCGAGTGAGTATTTTACATTGTTCTGGGCTTTAAGTCTTTGGGCAGGGTCCATTCAAATTTTGATAAAAGTCCAACCTTTAAATATAGGGATTTAGATTAAATCTGAATCCACCCTGTACTTATAAATAAAGAAAAGAGAAAAAAATAAAAAATGAATTATATATAATAATTTTTTATAATAAACAAAAGACTAAAAATTAATCAAATACAAATTATAAAATCCAAATTTTATATATAAACATATGATCTAAATATGAAATAATCGAATCGGATGTTCGATCAGTTTTGGACTTTCAGTGCAGCTCTAATCATATGGGGTTCATCGATGCCACTCTTAAGGACGACCTCAGAAATCATTGTTATTGCAAGAAGATTGAGAAGTCAAAGATACCTATACTTTTCAATAGGGAAATTTATTGTTTGACCTCCATAATTTTTATTGATTTTCTGAATATGAATGAATGTGTATTATACCAAATTCATCAATGTTACAGTATCTCCAGTATTATAATAGATTTTTATATTTGTTACTATTCTTGATTATATAAATCTATAATACTTTAAAAAGTACCAATAGCGTCTAAAATTTTCTGAAATTTTAATTAGATAAATTTTACCCTTTTGTGTTAATGTTTTTAGATTTGAATTTAAGGATAAATTTGATATTTTGTTGATTGTTTTAATGAGTTACTTAAATGAATTGTAACTGAAATTTCATGGAGTGGTTAGATGGATATATTTATCTCTCTTTTAATTAATAATGAATTGTAACTTAAATTTAATGGAGAGTTAGCTAGATGTATTTCTCTCTTTTAATTAATATTGAACAAAACCGTTGTTATTTGATCATCTTTAAAATCACTGTTAATGATTTTAGAATGTGGATTTTGAGTGTCTCCACAATTTTAACTATGGTTTTTGGCAAGATTTTAAAAACCAACCCGGAAATGGAACCACTTTGATCGTTGGTTTCTGGGTTAGCGGCTTAACCATCCGGGTCAAACAGTTTGACCCACAACATTAAATTTTTGAGAAATAAAACCCATAATGCTTATATTAGATTCATATTCTAATTTATAATTTTTGTTCCTATCGTTCTACTAAAATCAAGGTTTAAAACTTAAAAGCCTATAATGACTCATTAATTGTATTAGAAAATAGGGGACTAGGGGAGGGATAAAAGGTGAGAAGTGAGAGGTGATAGAGAGAATGTGTGTCAGAATAGCATAATATAATAGGGGGTAGGGAGGAAGAGAGAGAGAGAGACGTTAATTGACCAAAAACCCCCCAAACTACTACTGGGTTGAATGGTTTAGCAGTTCGACTGCCCATATCAACAGTTTTTTGACAAAACCAATGATTTTTTCATAAAAAGCAGTCCAACCCAAAATCGGACCCGGAACTATGATCATTTCCTAGGTCAAACAATTTGATCGTCAGATCTGGTCTGATTTTTAAAACAGTGATTTTTTGTTAGCTTTTCCATTGGTTTATAAGTAGTTTTTGCCCAATCTCAAGATGTTTGAAAGGGTTTCATCTGAAATATCCATTTCAAAAAGTTAATCTTTTTCTAAAAAAATTACCAAATAAGCTTTAAAAATTGATTTCTAAGATTATGAACATCCCATATTTGGGTGCTCAATTATTCAAGGCATAATTGATAAGAATGCTCCAAATAATATCACAACTAAAATTAAGAAGAAAAGTTAGGGTTAAAAATCGAAAACTCCTTTTAATGATGACAGAGCTATCCTTATCAAATAAGTTTTGAATGTGGTTCTTCTATTTACTATGTGCCAACTAGCCAGTCAATAAGGTCTCTTGGTGGTTGTAGCTGAGAGACTTGGAATCAAATCCCACGTGCACCTGGGTTGGGGGTTATGGGTTTAGGGGATGGGCCACCCCTATTGTATAGTTCCATGGAATAAACAAAAAAAAGGAAAAAGAAAATGTAATTCCTCTATTTCAAATGTTGTTCAAATGACATACCCTAAAAAAGAATGGTAAAATTCAAAGTCTGTTCTTTTGAGGCTCAAGAGAAGGCAAGGAGCAATTGTAGTACAAGTTAGAAAGGGATTTACAAATTAATGTCTTTTATTTTTGGGAAAACCATTAAGAACCCCTAGAGTTTCTAGAAAATCTATGAGAAGTATTTTCCCCCCACTTTGTGTTAATGATTTTGTATTTGAATTTGAGGAAAAATCAAGTATTTTGTTAATTGTTTAAAATGAGATCAAAATAGGACAAATTGAGCTCTCCATTGTTAACTTCTTGTTGAATTGTATAACAGGACATAAATGGAATTCTTTTATGCATTTCAAATAACTACACAACAAGTCTTTTTCTTTTTTTTGGATAACTCACAACTTGTCTAAATAGACATCTATAAATCATAGAACTTAATGAATTATAATTTAAATTCTATGAAGTATTTAGGACAAATTTAACTACTCTAGACACTTGGAGCTACATGTTGATTTGTAGATGAATTACAATTTATTTGGAATTTATAAGAAGTGGCAATAGATCTCTAAGGCTTTTAGATTTTTTCTTGACTTAAAATACCCCTCTTTTTGAATTTGCTCTCTCTCTCTCTCTCTTTGTATATATATATATATATATATATATATATATATATATATGAAGATATAAATTGTGAATTGAATACTATTTTTTATTTCATTCCATTCTCTCTCATTAAGTCACATATTTAAGGTTAACTTGATCTTATTGAATCATATGTTTAATGTATCTTTGTTTTTCATCCTTAAATTTCACTAATTAAATTCACGAATAACAATTTTAATAGTATAAAAAAACTTGTATATTGAAAATCAACTTGGAAACAAAACCGGTTTTTAAGTATGATAAATAAGAAGAATTTTTATTAATGATAAAAAGGGAATACAAAATTTAAAATTGCCTTAGCAATGAAACCACTTTCATGTTTGTTAAATGATGAAAATGGAATACAAAAATTATGAAAAGAGAAAATTAATGACTATTCCACCACCCTACTAAACAAATCAAATGATAAAATGGTTTGGTTAGTTAGGTCACCATGTTGTTGGCTAAGTCAATGGTATTTTATAGACAAGAAATTTAGTGGAAAATGAACCTAAGATACAAATCAACTAACAATTCAATTAGTCTATTCAGTTTCTAGGCAAGAAATAGTTCAATTAGCTCAATAAATTGAAAATATTGATATGAGATATAGAGTAAGAAGATTTGATACAAGTTTTTAGTTTGAAAGACAATAAATCACCAATATATATACAATTATTGTTGTTGTATCATTTGAATTTGCTACATACAAAGTACGTGCATATTTACTAGTTCATCAAAATTTAGGAA